ATGGCCACCTCTTTAGAGAGGCTGGAATTCGGAGTACCGATTAACGTGTCGGAAAACGATCATCGCCTTGGCTTAGCGCTCAGCGATGGTAGCCATAGCCGCCACGAGCGTAGGGATGAGGCCCCTTTGTTGAGCCCTTCTTTCCCCCTTTGCTCTCACCCTTTGTCGCACGGCGTTCATCAGCGGCACGTTGTGCTGCCCGGGAACATTCAGCATCAGCAAGTCGCTCTTCATGGGCACGAATGGCTGGTTGGAGCTGCGTGTTCCGTCTCTGCCTCAGCCATAGGTCCCATTCTGCAGCTGTGTAATCCAGGCTGGGGTCGAGGTAGAGAGTCTCGGTGAAGCACTGCAGCCTGTCAATTGCACGGTGCTGCAGGAACACTTGGATGAACCCCGAAATGCTGTAGGCGACCCCCAACCACATGATTGCGAGCGGGTCGTCCTGTTCAGTCCCCAGCAGGCCTGCCCTAAGGGCGGCTGGATTACAGTCGTGCAGGTAGAGCAACCTTGCGACGCTTTCCGGGGATTCCGGTCGGTCCCAGCTTCCAGATCCGTGGACGCCGGTGCCAAGGGTCCGCTGGGCCTGATTGCGACCAAGGTTCGGCAAAATACCATGAACAAGCACATCTTGCGTCCTCAAGAAGTCACGGTCGTAGCCGTTGTTGAGGGATGCCAGGGTATACTCAGCATCGGTATCGAATCGTTCCACAATGCTAGCACACCCCTGCTTGTTCGCGAGCTTTAGCATTTGCTTCGCCTTTTCGATGGCCACCGAGTCCAAGCTCTGAGCGCCGCGTCCTCCCACTTCCCTGCGGATGTTGGCGAGGACCTCTTCGACGGTCAGACGAGAGCGTGCCTTGCCCGTGGCAAGGGCAGCTGCTTGCTCCTGGAACCATCTAAATCTATCGGTCTTGATGCGCTTGCGTTGGCTCTGCGCTGTGGCTTTGGCCAGCTGAGCTTTGCATCGCGGGCACACCATCTGTCCCACCAAGTGTGATGTGCCACAATGGGGGCAGGCACGTCGACGGCCACCCGATGAGGGGGCTGGAGGAGGCAGAATGCGATGCGGGGGTTCCGTTGGCATGTTGATGGCAGGTCTGGTAACATGCTCTTCCTTCGGTGCCACCGGTGCCTCTGCTGCTGCCGCTACCTCCGGCTCATCGTCGATCATTGCCATGGTGGTGTCTGCTTCGGTGATGTCGGCGGGGCGGTTGGTGGTTCCTCTGAAGGCAGTGGAGGTTCAACCGCCCCCACGCCGGCACCGTCATCCTCTTCCAACAAGGCCGTCTCCTCAGGGAGAACATCGGCAGCTGTTGCGTCGAGGATTGCGGGCATTGGCGTGTCCGAGGTGCCAGAAACTGGCGGTGCATCATCGTCTCCATGGCCTCCACTAAGTGGGGCTGGAACTTCCTCATCCAACGTTGTAGCCTCGGCCTCGGGCTCCTGGATGCTCTCAGAGAGGATGGCAGCTTCCTCTTCGGGCTCGGCCGGCTCGGGAAACGAGAAGAGATCCGCGGGCTCGTCATCATCTTCGATAGTGGTAATCCCCGCGATCTCGACGATAACCTCGATGTCCTCGTCGCCCGGCGACGGTCGCGTCCACAGGGTCATGTTGCTGTCGAAGTCCCTCACGTACAACACGCACTCACCCGGGACTCTCTCGCGACACAAGATCCCCTCGGACTCCGTCTCGAAGAGGTAGGAGTGCTTCAACACTTCCAACGTGTCGAACACAAGTTCGACATGCAAGTTGGCACGCACCCCAGCCCTGCTCCCCAGTTCGGATAACGTGGCCTTTGCGAAGTAACAATGGTACTTCCCCGAGCCACGAAATCCTGGAATGAGGCCATCTTCAAGGATTTGGAAGGCTGCATCATGAGTGGTCCGGTGGTATAGACGAGCCGGGAAGCCTTCGTCGTCACGGCACAGGAACGGCTTGCCTTTGTAGGCAGCTGGGACTCGGTCAATGGCACGCCTCCGTGGGTCTAGCCATCTGGTGGCGATGCTGGAATCATCGACCTCATCCTGGATCCGCGCGCTGTGCCCATGGCTGGCAGAAATCCATAAGGGCCAAACCCCGCAGTCAATGTAGTCGTTGCGCGGGTCCTTGGCATGCCCGGCGAGGAGGAATCGGCCCTTATTGTCGTGAGCGACCACTGATTGCAGCATCCGGTGACCGATCTCGACGTTGTGCCGCCGTTTCAACAGAAACAGTAGTTCCTCTACCCGGATCCACTTGCCGACCCTGCTTCTCGACTCCACAACCGAACCCCTCACTGCTCCGATCATCCATTTGGACACTCGATCCACCCAGCGAGGGGGCTTCTGCAAGTAGTCCATGGGGATGTCGCCCTTCTTGATGACCCTCATGTCATCGTGCTCAGGGTTATCGCTGCTGAGCCTGCAGTAATGGTTGTCGTCGGCACCGAGCATGTAATTGAGGTCGTCGTCATCCCCGACCTTGTACCCAATCAAGTCCCTTGGGTTAACCTGCAGGTTTCGGCCACCGCTGGGCGGGGCTGTAGAGGAGCTGGGTGCCTCCGTAGTGGCCTCGGACTTGCGAGCGGCCTTCGCTGCAGAGAATGTGCGGCTAGCCTCGGTCCGGTACGGAATGGCATCAATCACCTCATCCAAAGATGCAGTCACCATGGGGGGGTTCAAGGATGAAGAGGATGCGGCCACAGCTGGTGCTGGGCGGGAACGGCCTTCTGCGTAGCTTGATTGCTTTGCATCGATGTCACGTTGAACACCGTAGTGCCACTCCCGAAGCTCCGCGGGCACTTCGACCTCCCTCATGCCAGTCACCGGGATCTCTGGTTCCGGTACCCAAGTTTGCTCCCAAGTGTCCGGGCATTGATCACGTGCCTCTTTCAGCTCGGCCTGCCTTTGAAGGCGGCGGGACATCTGCTGGCTTGCTAGCGTCCGATTGAAGACGTGACGCATCAGGAATTTCCGTTCCGCCTTGGCGTCAAACGGATACTCCGTCATCAAGCGCTGGAAGTCCGCATCTGAGAGCTGGGCAAACGTAGATTCCACCTGGCATAAACGCACCCGATTCACGAGGACGTTTGTTAGGGCTGACCTGCGTGCGCTGTCCTCTCGGAAGTGATATCCGTCGTACTTGGGGATTTCAGCCACTGCTTCCTCCAAGCTACCAGTAAAGAGGCCGCGTCCACGGGCGGGAGAAGCATCGCCCAAGATCTGAACGCTATTGACACACGGCCTGACCAATCTCCCCACATACCCGGGAAGCTATGTCCGACCAGATGCCCAAGGCGCTGGCGTTCTCGACATTCTGCCTCCACTGCGGTA